CAGCACCATCCTACCTCAAACCGACTACCTCACCCACACCAGTATATCCAATGACCCGCCAGTAGACGGTTTGAGGTAGGATGGTGCTGCCGTCTTGGGTTGGAGTGACGACGGACGAGGTGGACGCCATCCCTGTCGGAGATTGCCGTGCCTTGCCTTTGCCTTTTCCTTTTGAAACAGATGCGACAATGGGGGAAGCGGGGGGGGAGGTCGTCTGGAGATGGATCTACAAACGGTTCAGATACGACGTGAGCCGGTTGGGTTTCGTTTCGTCGACGGTGTAGGAAAAAGAGGATGATGGCCGCCAATAAAAGCAGGAACACGACGCCGCCTACCACTCCTCCAATGATGGCGTCCATACGACGTTTATTAAAAGTCGATCCCTTATCAGGCGAGTGTCCTGCGTCAGGCTCTTGCGAGTCTGTCCGTGCATTGTAGACCCAGTAGTCGAGATAGACGGACGAGGACGTGTTGAGGTAGGTGACAGTCAGTTGGTGCTCTCCAGGAGCTAGGTCCTGAGATTGATAAAGAATGCTGTGTCTTGGTAACGAATTGTTTAGTGGCATGGAGAGGGTCGAGTGCTTGGTGGCATCAAGGGTGAACCTTAGTGCCTGCGAACTGCCGTCCTCAATCGTTCCATAGAGCTGTATCGAGGTACCTGATGAAACCGGACGTCAATTTTTGTAGTATCAAATATGAATGACCGACCGTTGAATCGAAAGGTAGCGGTCGAGCCTATAGTGTTTGGTTTATGTGAGCTGGTAAGGTATTCCTCATCTATAGTCCGTCGAGTCCAATTACCAGAATATATTATCAAGTCGTCGAAATCGTAAAAAAGTCGAAATAAAATGGGTGCGCCTCCGACGCGCTATCCACGACGAGAGACACATTATGCTCGGCATCCGGAAGGTGACCTCTATAAAAGAGGGGAACGTGGGACCACACAGGTGTATCCGCTTCCGTCGGTCGTATCTCTCCAGAGCTGTTGAAAGCGACTGGTTCGCCATCATCTATCGTCACTCTAAAGGCGGGTGCCCCAGTCAGTGGTTGCACAAGCGTCCCATACATGTATATTCTCGTCCCTTTAGAGAGAGCGGTCAGTGACTCGTAGGCCCAACTGACATGCGGGGAGGGGAAAGGTCGCTCAACACGTGCACACTACTCACCTCGAAACAGGTAGCTGAGAGAGGAACCAGGAGTCGTCGTCTGATGAACCGTTCCGTTAAATTCTTTCGAGGTTGGATCGACTTGGCTTCGAATGGACCACGAGCCGGTGTAGGTGATGGAGGGGTCGCAGTCGTCCACGAGTACTTTGGGAGCCATAACGCAGGTCTTTAGGACCGCCTCCGCCTCAAGAATACGAGACTATATAGCTCGTATGGAACAAGGTAACGACCCTGCGCCGTACGAATTGCGGTAGTAGAGGCTGGTAAGGGAAAAAATCAAGGCGGAGGGAGGGGAAGAGGATCTTTTGATCAACAGCCTCCCATTGGTGATAAAGGTGCACTGTATGGGATCTCTCTTGTTACTGATAAGGCAATGTATGCAAACACGTTACTGCACCGGCTGTTTTCGCCAAATTGTGGATCACAATCTGTCCTCTTTAACAGAATTTGGTCTACTTTGATAGTTTATAGATCCATATCGGTATGTTTCACAGCGTAAATATCCGTGGTCGGCCCACCCCTTGTTAATGCAGATGTGTTTTGTGTGGGCATAGTCTGTATTGACGTTGCCTTTGCCCGCCAGCCTCCCGATATTTGCTATCGAAAACTTTATTTTTCATGGCATCTGCTCGAGATTGATCTCATTTGAAACGCCGTTTCCCGTACCATTTTTGTTTTAGCAATCTGGGTCACAAGGGGCGGGCGGTGTTGGGTTCAAAGTGTGAAACAGTCGGCCGTTATTGTGGGGCTTTGTTCTTGATACATTGCCACCCAAATTGTAGGCGGGATATGTATTATTTACGAGCCTTACAGGTACTAATCTGGTCAACGGCCTTCTACGGCGCTACAATTCGACTCGGGATGCACGCTTGACTAGTCCATCACATTGTTTACCGATATACGATGCTCCAAAGATCCTATTTAATGGACGTCTAATCATATTACTAGCTATTATGTGACATAGTAGGCCGGGGGCGGGGGTATTGAATCGTCCACTGCTATATCGCCAATGGGAGACGTGTGCTGGCCCATTAGGCCACCTATACCTCGTGCTGGGTTTCTCGAGTCATGTAAAAGCGGGCTGGCTTCTTCCAATCTGATAGAACTGGGCAGGGCGTCGAGTTGCGGTCGGTTCTTTTGATCGCTAGCGCTTGAACTGCCTCCCAGCATGGACAGATCACGAGAGTCAACGATAGACCGATCTGGATCACTATTTTGTCCATTTGAGGGCATGAAACGGTCGTTAGGCGCTGGGTTCACATATGGCGATTCGTGTTTGTCGTTTCTTGGAGCCGGCCCCCCGCCGCCACGAGGTATCTCAGAATCAAAGGGAGAGATTGGAATATTCTTGACGGATTGTTCGGAGTAGGGCTGGTCTAAGCGTCCGGGGCGCTTACGGCGACGGTAATAGATCAAAGCCCCAAGCAGAAGTACGAATACTATCCCTCCAACAACACCGCCAACGATAGCGCCGGTCAAAGATTTCTTCGACGTCGAGTTTATTGGAGAGTTTCCTGACCCGTTCGCACCCAAAGAGGAATCGTACACGATATAATCGAGAGAAGCAGATTGTGGATTGAGGGTTGTGATTACCAAGCGATGAAGAGTTGGGGTGAGGTCCTTGATGTCGTACAGAAGAGTGTGTTTCTGAGAAGTTTGATTCGCAACCACGGAATATGTGCTGATGGATGAAGAGTCGAGAGCGAACGTGAACACATCCCGGTTCCCTCTTGCAGCCGTTCCATATACTTGCACGGCCGTGCCTATTAGGGTATAGGAATTAGAACGGTTTTAAGGATTTGACATTTTAACCTATACGAACCATTGAACTGAAAGATGGCCTTTGCCCCCGGCGTCGTACTTTTATGAATGGTTTGGAAATAATCCTCGATCGAACCTGCGAGGGTCCAATCACCCTCATATGCTATGTTTCCATCTTTATCGTCTACAATCACCACACCTCCTGATTCAACGGTCCGAGCAGTAAAAAAGTCGACATAAAAAGGACGATCTTTGTTAACCTCGTCGACAGCAATGGTCGCGGTGTGATCCCCGTTCGTTAAATCCTCGACTGACCAGAGTGGAACATGCGACCACGATGTTGTATTTGCGGCCGGTGTTAGGTTTCCGGTAGCGTTTAGTGTGCGGGGTGTGTCGCCATCGAGCGATAGGGTAACGCCTGGTAGACCTGTCCAGGGATGTACTAGCGTTCCCCATACGGTTATCCTGTCACCTTTTCAAGAGAGTGTCACCAAACTGAGCGTCACTGGTGGCGCGGAGGGATCGTGGGCGTACTTACCATGAAAGTGAAACTGTATCGAAGAGCCTGGAGTCGTGGTTTTATGTACAGTCCCATTATATTCATTGGTTCCTGAGTCAACGGATTGCAGAGACTGCCATTTGCCAGTATAAGTAATGGAGGGATGTGAATCGTCCACAATGACCCTCTTAGCCATGGCTGTTCAATCCCACCAGTGCTTTCTATAGATATCCAAAATAGATTCTCGTCAAAATTTGAGGATAGAGGAGACGGATAGCAAGGTCGAGATGGAGGTAAAACGAGTTAGGGGACCCTTTCTCGTATGCTGCCCGAGTTAACATATGGCTCAATGATAATGTCGTTCTTCCGAGCTCGAGCATTTCCCGGTTTCCCGATTCTAGAACAAGGAGCTAGCAACCGCTTTCCTGCCTCCCGTTATTAAAACATGTACCGAGTGCTCCTAGCCGGTCCAGGTTATTCAGCGCACGATTTTGATCTTGAGTGGGATGGTATTCTAAATATAATCTCCTGCTACAATGGGACGGCAAAAGCTGGGCACAGATAGCACTGGTACGCGGCAAAGTCCTTCCTCCATCCCTCCAAATAAAATGGCTTCAAAAGAAATCATAATGGACGCCCATTATTCGAACCAGTGGCAATACCATCTCGAGGGTATACAACTTCAAGGTGTGCTTCACATTACAGGGTCGGTCAAGTCCATGGGTATTCCTCTTGATCCATGGACGGGTTCGTCAAAACTGAATCAAAATGGATATCTCCAATTTATTGAAGACTCGAAACCAGGACGAATCGAATATTCAAAGAGGTGATTATTGAATAAAGGCGAAAAAGAGGATCGCCAAAGGAGATCAAGGTGCGGTGGTGCAAGGGCAGTTCGTTTCGACCACAGCTTGGCTCGACTTGATCTCGTAAAATGGCTCAGGCGGTGACCGTTTCAAAAGCTTTGAGTGAACTATCAACTGCACGTCTAAGAGGTCACAGAGACTCCAACGAGATTGTACGCAAAGGCCTCTTCGTGCTCGAGCAAAAGGATGGTCTGAAGCGGTTGGGTGACGACGGTATGTGATTCATCCCCTTCATAACGGGCATTTCGTTTGGGAATCAATAGTATCGTGTTTGCTGATTATAATCACGAAAATAGTTTGGGACTTTCTCGAGCAATTGGCTATAGCTGCACTTGACATTGGACAACTGGCACTTGCGGATGTGAGTTGCAGGCAGCTCGTTTATTCCGACATTGAAATAATCGTGGCTAAACATGTTCCAATAGGACTGTATTCAACGTTTGGAGGAACAATTCCCCAAATCTCCTCGTGTAGACCTCCTGCAAGGACTACGAATAGAAGCGAAAGACCTGTCCCTGGCGCTCAAATACTAT